AAAGAGACAGGGGCGCACCACCCCTCACTTCTTCTCAAAAGCATTTAAAGGATCCTTTGAAATGCTTTTGGGAAGAAGTGAGGGGGCCTTTAAGGAAGATGGTTGGCTCTTTAAGGAAGGGGCAGAGCCCCCAAAAGGCCCACTGTAGTTACGGGTCAGGAGAAATCTCTTTCTCCCTTTTCCATAATATTTGAACTCACAAGCACCTAACCAAATTCATGCGCTATAGATTCAGGATAGACAAAAGGTAGTACTTCTTTACTCAAAGCACAATTAACTTGTGGAATTCACCATCAAAGGATGTAATGATTGCTATGAGTTTAGCTGGCTTCAAGGAGATCAGATGAATTCATAGAGGGAAGGTGTATCCATGGGATATGAACTGGTATAGTCTAACCCAATCTCATCAGATCTCAAAAGCTTAGCAAGGTTGGCACTTGGATGGGAGACCACCAAGGAAGACTTTGCAGAGGAAGGCAACGGCAAACCACCTCTGCTTAATGACTTTCCTTGAGAACCCGGCAGCTTGGATTGCAGGCATGTGCTGCCCCCCCTCCACTTCTTTTGAGAAGAAGCTGGGGGGGGCGCATGCCCCTCTCCCTCCCTCCTGCAAGATTTAAAGGGCCCTCCAGCTGACCGGTGGGCCACATGCTTGCAGGAGGGGAGGGAAAGGGGTGGGCACTACTACCACCCCTTCATTATGGCAAATAATGGCAGGCCCACCAGAAAATAATTTGCCCCGCAAGCCACAAAATCCTGGGTACAGGCCTGGATTTCTCTATCCTTTTTCTCCACTGATGCATATTTTTATAATCTTCTAATAATCATCTTTTCTCTAAACCAAGAAGACCCACACTCATTAGGCTTTCCTGGTAGGAATGATACACCCATTCCTTGATCATTATAGTTGTCCTTTTCTGCACCTTCTTCCAGTTCTACAACATCCTTCTTCCTATTAGGTGATCAGAAGATCACATTGTTCCATATGGGGCCCCCATAGATCTATACAGGGGTATTATAATACTGGCCAAATTAAATGGCATTGGCCCCAACACTGGTGGCTCAGAGGTTAAGACACTGAGCTGCAGACTGGAAGGTCTGTAGTTCGGCAGTTCGAGACCCTAGTGCCGCGTGATGGAGTGAGCTCCCGTCTCTGGCCCCAGTTCCTGCCAACCTAGCAGTTTGAGAGTAAGAAATTGCAAGTCAATAAATAAGTACCACTTTGGTAGGAAGATAACAGTGTTCTGTGTGCCTCAACATTTAGTCATGCCGGCCACATGACCACAGAAGTGTCTTTGGACAGCTCTGGCTCTTCGGCTTGGAAACGGAGATGAGCACAGCCCCCTAGAGTTGGATTCGACTAGCTTTCGAGCAAGGGAAACCTTTACCTTTACTTTTTACAACACCAATCCTTGTGGAATCCTACAGTTTACTTCATTGCAAGAAATGTTTATGTGGACTACTTTTTGTTATTTAACCAGTTTCTGCTCCACACGTGTCCCTATCCTCTTATTCCATGACTTGCTAGCTAATGTATATTTAGAAGTCTTTGGTGAACGGTTTGGTCAAAAGCTTTTTTATAAGACCAAGTATATAATGTTTACCAGCTCACCATTTTCTACATTGTTTTAGATCTTTCAAAGAATTCCAAAAGGTCAGTGAAACAGGACTTTCCTTTACGAAAAACATGCTGATTCTTCCTCAGTAGGGCTTGTTCTGCTATGCTCATAATAAATTTTGCTTTTTATAACAGTTTCCACCTGTTTATCTGGACTAGATATTAGGCTAACTGGCTTAGCCTCTCCTGCAACTCCTTTGGATCCACTTTTTAAACATCAGTGTGCATTCACTATCTCCTAAACCTCAGGAAAAGATGCTGATTTAACAATGAATTGCATAGTTCTCTTGAAAGATCAACAATGTCTCAGTTCACTTCCTTCTCAGGTGCATGCCACCCACATCTAGTGACTTTTCAGGTTTTAATTTGTCCGCCCCTAGAACTTCATATCTCATCACTGTTACTTCATTCAGTTCTTCCAACACCATTCCTGAAAGCAGTAACTCTGGCTTGGGTCAATAGCCCACATTTTCCACAGCAAAAACCACTGGAATTGTTTCAAGTCTAGATACTGCAGTGAGCTCTATGTGAGGCTCCCTTTGGAGATAGTTTGAAAACTTCAGCTGGTCCAGCATGAAGTAGAGAAATTGGTGACAGGTCCAGCTTTAGGGGCTATATATGGCCAGAGCTGAAAGACCTTGACCAGCTGCAAGACTCAGTGCAAAGTACCTCTAAAGCCCTGAATGGTCTTCGTCCCAATACCTGAAGGACCACTTCCCCTAAATGAACCCACCCCATCATTCTGTTGCTCATCACAACCCGTGCTTGGTGGGCCCCACTAAGGACAGGTGACTTTGGCAGGGAATGTTCTTCCTTCTACCCTCTCCCTGGCACCAAATCTGATGGGGGAGGTCACATGAAGATCTGCTCATTTGCCCAGTCATCTGTTTAGTAGTTTTCCTTCAAAGTGTGTCTTGTGTATATGGCACGGTTGATGGTACCTATTGTTTAATATCTGCTCATTCTTATTTCTGCAGTTTTATGGCTATTTTACCATTTGTGCTGGTTTATTGTTACTTGTTATAATTGATTTATTCCCCCACTGTTATCATTTTGAACACCACCACCATGCCAAAAAAATTATGCTGCTGGATTTAGCCTGAATTTTATCCCCTGCTGCTATTTGGTTTTAATTCCTTTGTTTTATTGTGTTTAGGTTGCTTTTTTTATTACTGCTGTAAACCATTGTGGGCACTTGGAATTGAAAGGTGTGTTATAGGCATTTATTAAAAAATGAACCAGCGCTGAAACCCCACTTGATCCCAGCCAGCTGCGCCACCCTGGGCAGTGCGCTTACCCCCCGTCAGGCCAAGATGGATGCTCCAGTAGATCTGAAGGCACAGGAGTTCCTTCTTCATCCCACGCTTGCAATGGCAGCCGTAGAGCGGGCTCTCCTGCAGCACCTCCAAGGCCGCCTGGCACTCCTTGTTGGCCAACATGGTGTTGCGGTCACGGCCAGCCAAGCACTGACGCAGGGTGCGGTACCGTGAGCTGCAGCTAGACTCGGCAGCACAGAGTTCATTGGCACGGACGCAGTCCACTGGGGTCCGCCAACCATGTGGCTCCTGGGCAGCCAGGGAAGAAGGACCAGCCCAGGTGTGGAACACCTTGTCTGGAGGAGAGTTCAGGAGGAGGAAGGAGAGAAAGGCCAAAGGAGGGTGAGTGAGCAAATGGATCCACAATACGCTGACTGCCACCCATTCCTGGCAAAGCAAACGGTCTTTAAGAGGTGCTCCACCCAACTACTTCCAGGCATGGGCCCCACCCCAAAATTTTCTGCTGCCTGAAAATACCAGAGCATTTCCACCACCAACCAAATGCAGCCTTGCAAACCCCGAGAGAAATATAGGAATCTCTCCGCTCTGTGCCCTCTTCCACTCTGGATGTAACCCTTGTATGTAGGGTTGCCAACTTCAGCTTGGAAAATTCCTGGAGATTTGGGGCAGTAACTGCGAAGGTCAAAATCTGGGGAGGAACTCAGTGGGAATGTGATGCCATGTCCTGCAGAGGTGTCCTTTCCTCCAGGGGAACAGATCTCTGCTGTCTGGACATTAGTTGTAATTCCAGGAGAACTCCAGTCTTCACCTTGAGACTGGCAACCACACTAGTATCCCAGTCTTTACTCACCTGCTGATGCCTGTCAGTCCTAGCCCACATTTTCATCTCCAGGTAGGGCTGCCCGGTCCCTTCTGGCAACTGGCGGGGGATGCAGGGGAAAGAAAGGCCCAGGCCATGTTGCCAGAGTCACACAGGAAATGACATCATCATGTCAATGAATTCTCGGCAATGCTCTGGTATTTGGGCAAAAACTCTATCATAAAACTGAATTCTACCATACAGTTTTTGCCCAAATACCAAAGCGTTACCTGGAAGTCACTGGCATAATGATGTCACTTCCTGTGTGACCCTGACAACGTGGCCTAGGTCTTCCACTTTCTACTGGTAAGCCCCCCCCCCCCAGCCAGCTGATTGGCAGCTGAGGGTCAGGGCCTGGCGATGGGGGACCCCTGCCTCCATGGGGGGGGGTCTGGCAACCGTATCTCCAGGCCCCCTTCTCCCACCTCAGGCTACAACCTCATGGCTTGCATCAATCTGCTGTTGTCTTGCAGAATCACATTGCCCATTCCCCCTGTGACAGCCCCATATTTCAGAGTCCTGTCCAAGGGAAAACCCCATACTGCAGACATCCCTATATTACAGCAACAGCTCCATTTATTTTTGATAAGGGTTTTTAGCCAACAGTGGCTAAAGAAGAAGCCCAGAGAGTTCAGCCTTGGGGGATTCCTGGAGTTCTGGGAGGGTGGAGCCTGGAGACCATGGAGTTTTGGGAAGGGAGGGACCTAGGCTTGCCAAGTCCCCCCGGGGGGAACCCCACCCTGACATGCACGTCACCCGGAAGTGACGCGACCACGCTGGGCACACTGGGGGCAGGGCCACGGTCATCCGAGGGAAAACTCCAGGGCTCTTTTTGTAGAAAAAGCCCAGCAGGAACTCATTAGCATAATAGGCCACACCCAACAGCAGGAACCCATTAGCATATTGGGCCACACCCCTGATAGCACAGCTCAGCCCATTAGGCCGCACCGACATGTTACCAGAAGTGTGATTATCCAGTCACACCCACCTTTTGCTTGTTATTCTGTTTACCTTGTTTGTTGTCACCCAGGGCCTTTTTTTGTAGCAGGAACTCCTTTGCATGTTAGGCCACACACCCCTAATGTAGCCAATCCTAATGAGTTTCTGCTGTTGGGTGTGGCCTATTATGCTAATGAGTTCCTGCTGGGCATGGCCAACTTGGGAGCCAGCTGGAACTCCGTTCCTGTGCGTTCCTGCCCAAAAATAGCCCTGGAAAATTCTATGTTCCCCACTGTGGCGAGATTCGGACTTGGCAACCCTAGAGGGACCTCAGTGGGGTATAATGCCATAGAGTGCACCCTCCAAAGCTGCAATTTCCTTTAGAGCTCTGGTGATAGATTTACTAAAAATTCCAATAGTCTCTACTAGTTTTCAGCACTATGCTGAGGCAGAAACTTGGGGTGACATCTGCCTGCATCTAGGCTCTAGCCTGATCAATCATAAATCAGTAAACAATGTGGTCAAAGGGGCCCACCTCCAGTGGGGCTCCCCCCATGACCCCCTTGCATCTTAGCACCCCCTAGGTAATCCCACCACAACCCAGGGAGCAGTACTGCCCACTTTGGGAACCACTGCTCTATGGGAACTCTTCTCTGTAGTCTCTGCTGTAATTCTGGGAGAACTCCAGGCCCCACCAGGAAGCTGGCAACCCAAGAGACCCAGCAAGTGGAAGCCCATATTCTATGTGACACGTATATCCCAGTATTTAGATGCCATATGGCGAAGCACATAACTGTGATTGTTTATCTCCCATAAATTCTTCCAAAGGCACGCAAAGACACTAACATGTATAACATATATAAAATACATTTGCTGCTTCCCCCACCCACCCCGAATTTTCCTCACCCAAAGCTCAATGTTAAATGCACATTACGTGCTTTTACTATTGCTGACTGCCCTCTTTCAGGGTTCTTCCAGCCCATTCAGACTCAGGAAGCCATCTGGAGCTCTGAGAAAACCCAAGCTGGCTGTTGGATTGGACGGTTGTGCAGAAGGGAACAGAGAGCATGGGTCGTTCGATGGAATCAACAGAAGGAAAGGCATTGTGGGATCGTTCTTCTTGAAACCATGCCTTCAACCTGTGCTCACCGGCAGGGCTCTTTTTGTAGAAAAAGCTCAGCAGCAACTCATTAGCATAATAGGCCACACCCAATAGCAGGAACTCATTAGCATATTGGGCCACACCCCTGATAGCACAGCTCATTAGCACATTAGGCGACACCCCCATGTTACCAGAAGTGTGGTTATCCAGCCACACCCACCTTTTGCTTCTTATTCTGTTTACCTTGTTTGTTGTCAAAACCCAGGGCTTTTTTGTAGTGGGGACTCCTTTGCATGTTAGGCCACACACCCCTAATGTAACCAATCCTAATGGGTTTCTGCTGTTGGGTGTGGTCTATTATGCTAATGAATTCCTGCTGGATGTGGCCAACTTGGGAGCCAGCCGGAACTCCGTTCCTGTGCGTTCCTGCCCAAAAATAGCCCTGCAACAGGCAACCTGCTCTTCAGTGAGCTGGGAGAGATGAAACTGCCATTATTTTAATGACAAGGGGAGGTTTCTGCACATTCTCAGAGGTACTTTCCCCCCAGTATTTCAGGACTCAGCCTTCCCCAGTGCCGCAGGTACTGCCAGGCACAGGTCTGGTGATCGTTGGGCACAAATTAAGTTAGAAAAAGGAGAGGAAGAAGAGGCAAGGAGAATTTGCTTATGACAAGACAGACAAAGAGCGCTGTGGTGGCTTTTGTCTTACTGGTTTTATGGGCTTGTGTATGGCTTCAGTTGTGAGCTGCCCTGAGCAGGTCCTGGAGAGGCAGCATACAAATGCTCTGCAGGGAGAGCGAGTAAGAAATCGAATAAAATCAAGTAAAATAAATAAATAAATAAATCCTTTGAATTAAAAAAATAAGCCTGGATTTGTGAAGTACATATGGAAGGGGGAAAGTTGGATTGTTGGGCAGTTTTTTAGGCTCCGGCTCACACCTTTCTGTCTTAGGTCAGGAAGGATGGCTCCAGAGCAAATTAATTTATGCAACAGCCGAGTCACTCGCTCACAACTCGCTCACAAAGAAGAATTTTTGCTCACAAGACTCCACAGCTTAGGGAGAGCATTGGCCGGCAGGAGGTGGAGTCAGCCACAAAATGGCTGCCGCAGCTTCCCTTCAGTCACATAGTGAAGATCTTTGTGCTGTGGTGGCAGCTGCTGCCAAAGTAATGCTTTTAAAAATCTGCACAGCCAATCAAATCTCCAGTGGCCAATCAGAAGCCTTCCTGGGCAAAAGCCCCACCCAGCCCTGCCCACTTTATAACAATACTTAGTGGGTACCATTGCGCCAAGGCTTTGATCTGAGGGGAACATACCCAGCTCTATGCAAACCCAGCTTCATAAACTCACAGATGGAAATGGAGGCCATAGTTCCTCAGTGATAAGGGGAAAGCACTTTACATATGCTCAGAGTTACTTTATCATTTGCTTTCCCTTAAGAATGTGCCATGGATGCAATGAGTGATTTGGGGCTATCAGTCCACATCAGTGTTCTTCAATCAACGGGTCACAACTGTAAGGTAGGTTGCAGAGCCCCACCTACTGGGTTGCAAGCCCCAGTAGCCCTGCTGCTTTCTGGAAGGTGTGCATGCCAAGGGAGTCAGAGGAGGTGGGCACCACTGCCACCATCCAGAAAGAAACGGCAGTCTGCAATTGCACCCCCTGCACAATGGTAGGCCTTGGCCTGAGCAAACGATAGCTAGCCCTGATGCCACCTCTGCATGGGAGTAAAGAAGCAGCGAGTGTACGTCTCGTCTGCTGGCTGAAAACAGCTGTCCCTTGTTAGCTGCAACTACTACAGAACCCATTATGCAGCCATGACCTTCCTCTGCCTTTTGATTCTACTGATTCTCCCTGATCAAGGAAGCCACACCGATCATGTGCAAATTTGCTAGCACTATTTCAAGCTAGCTGAAA